AAAAAGAAAAAGAAAAAGAAAAGAAAAAAGTGTGCTTATTGATGCTGGGAGAACCCTCTTTTTGGAGAGTCAGAGTACAATGCCCGGAATCTGCAGCCTGAGAAGGGAAGTTGTTAGCACTTATTTTTGCCTGCTGTCATATCTTTTGAGACACAAGTAGTAGCTCATCAAGAGTCAGAGTGGTAGAAAGGCAGAAGATCTGCTGTGCCTACAAGGCAGGTGAAACCAACACAAATGAAAATTTTTGAATGAAAAATTTCAAACCTTTTTCTGAAGGAAAGCACTGGTACTTAGCTATCCACAAGGAGAGCTGGAGAGGCAAGCAGGCAGGTATCATGTGCACACACTCACTCTGACACACAAATAGGGGGATCTGGAGGCCAAGACGCAGATCCACCTTGGGGAAGCTGAACAAAAGTACTGTGGACACTCACCATGAATCTTGTTACTTGATGTTTATTTTTAATGCTAAGATTCAASCACATGCTGCTCTAAGAGGATTGTTCTGTCAATTTTAGTGCCAATCACAGGCTCCCAAATTAAGTTCCAGTCACCATTACGCTGCAGCTTAGCTCATCCCGAGCAGAGATCTGCTGACTCTCCCCGAAGGCTGAGAGCTGGGAGCTCCCCCCGGAGATAAACCCAGCTGCAGCGAGCACTCCCTCTGGCAGCAGAGGTGTCGCCCTTCTTCGGCCTTCGCTCACAGGGTTAATGATCATCCAGGGAGGCAAAGATTACCCTCCTTTAAACCGTAAGAGCGGAGTAGAGTGCTGCAAGTGATCGATTGCCCCAGAGGAACTGTTTGCTTAGGACTACAGCTCTCCAAAACATTGCCCAGCAAACACTACGCAATGATGGGAGTGTTGCACAAGTGCCTCATTTTCCCTATAGTGTTTCAAATGCCTCTCCTCTGCGGGCATGACACAATTCTGTAGAGCATTACCATAATACGAATATTTTACTAAACTCACAGCAAATTGTTTACAGCTGTTAGCAAAGTAGTGCTCTTGGCTTGGACAACCAGCTGGAAAAGATGAGTAACTTTTCGCAGTTACCCCACCTACCTTTATTTGTTTTTGAGAAAAAGGGGCAGCACTGCTGGTATTGCCGCACCGCATTATTGAAACGCAGAGAGGCTTTTTCCTTACGTCGAATACGGACTGAGCAAATGCAGCGGTGTTTGGCCAGAGGAGCAGTACTTTGCTTGAGCCACCAGAGAGAGCTGCTGCTCAACTTTTGAATAAAGCTTGGGCAGTTCCTCGTTGCTGGGAAGAGGAGCAAGCGCAGCTGAGATCCAWCCCTTCGCTGGGAATGAGCTCTGTGTGCTGCTCTGTCTGGCTTTAAAGCTCACGGTCTATTTCAGCAGGGCAGGGGACAGTTTTGAGGAAACAGAGAGAATTGTGTTTAAATAAACACCCCCGAGTTTGAAGGTGCCCCCACATTAGTCATCACTCCAACTGCAGAGTGGAAACCAACCTTCCAGGAGCAGAGTAGGTTGAATATGGAGATTATCCTAGGAATAGGTTGGATCCTCCCCACGGTAAGGAACAAGTAAGTCTCTCCTCTTTGCGGCAGCAAGAGTTTMTACAGGCAGAGTCATGCATAACAGTTTAGATTTGTTCATGAAAATCAAGTCCTTAAGTTTGATATTTCTGATGATTACATCTAGTGTTATGGGAGGAGTGGCCCTGCTAATACAAAAGCCACAGAACAGATAATAAAACCAGCTTGAATGCTAAAGTTGGATACAGATTTACAGCTCAGCTAAAGCTTATTACACTGCTGTTGACTTCACTGGAATAGTATCTGTGGCTTACAAAGTCAGAGTCTTATTAATACATTAAAATTTTTAATGAAGGGTGAAATGGATCAAAGCCTGGCTGACAGCCCATTCAAGTTTACCAGTAATGGGAGTGTTTCTTTTTGGCAATTAAATGCTACTGAGCAGCAGCTCAGTACTGCTAAGWATGAAGCCTTACATTTTATTATCCCTGCTCTTTCCCAGCAGTGACTGATTCCTGTCAGTGAAACTTTCAGAGGCTGGCCAGATTTTGATGGTTATGATGCTTTCAGATGTCCAGGGTAGCAAATAGTTTCCAGCTGACGTTTATCCTTGCTGATTTAATTCAATAAGACGACCAGCAAATACAGCTAATGTTCCTATAAAACAAACYAGCATAAATATGCCAAGGAGAAGATGATCAAGTACCATTGCAACAAACTTCCATTCTTCTGCAGCCTGCCAAAGAAAAAAAAGGATGGTAAAATTTCTGCAGAGCCCTGTTTGTTACAGGCATTGTTGTAATTTACTGTCCAGCAAGGGGACGGCTCTTTGATAAGTGCTATTATTATTATGCTCAAAAGCATGTCAGTTGTTAAGAAAGCCTAAGCAACCTAGAGATACAAGTTTCTACATTGACCAGAAATCCTGGCAATTTGCTGAACTATTTAATTTTTTAAAATGTTGAAAACCCTTATTTTTTAGGCCAATTTTTCTTCTGAATGAGATTTTAAAATGTTGAAAGCAAAACTTAGTTTGACTCAACTGACTGCTTTTTTGTTCTCATGGGGTATCTAGGCAATTTATATTAAATTTAACCCTAACCCCTGCYTTCCATACACTTTAATATCATGTAAAACCTTGGTAGCTCTGTTATTATTTTTTTCAGTTGTGGGAGACTGTGAACCACTTGCTCTGTACCCACCTTTTCACTGAATGCTTTTGGTGGGAACCCAGCACAGTTAAGAGCATGCAGAGTGCAAGGCACCAAGTACAGCAGGGYTGAGGATTTCCACCCTGTAACTCAGCCTTAAGGAGTGACATGTGCTGGCCTAAAGCCCCTTTGCTTTTGCCTTGGTTCTCCCACAAGTGGAAGAGGCTGTTGTAATTTATCTAGAGGACGCTGATATTGAATACTGTTTTGAGGTCTGATATTGAATACTGTTTTGAGGTGGTTCAGAAGGTGTTTCATTGCATTTGAATGCAATGAAGTGACAGCCTTCAGGAGCCACAACCTGCAGTTTATTTGGGGAACTTGACTTTTGAAACCTCCTGGAAGCAATTTATCAATAGTGCCCAGATGACACAAGCAGCTGGGCTCCACTTCCGAAGAGGCCATTTGCTGGTAACCTGAAGAGCCTCCTTGTAAGCCAAGGAGGAAGTGAAGCCCAGAGATGTTGAAGCCATGCCAGCCCCTGCTGAAGACAACAATTTGTCTGCAGAGAGGCAAAAGAGTCACGGGGAACTTGAGACTACAGCCAGAGCCATTTCACATGCTCCAGGAATTTGGTCACAGGAACAAACACCGTGGTGTAAATCCTGTCCTTGGGAAGCAAGCATCTCCTTTTCAGGAGTATAGGCCAAATTATTTTCTCAGAGAACCCCCCCTGTCTTCAGACTAACCTGCAGCTCAGCAGGAGAGGTCTATGACCACTTAGGAAGATGAAGTACCAGGACTGAATTACCCCTGCAAAATCTGACACTAAAAGAGGGAAAATTGTACTGATTGTGCTAGAAGGAGGCAGCGCTGGGTTTTCCTAGGGAACACTGCCATGTGTGACTCTATATCCTTCCTTTGGCTTGCAATATGGAAAAAGTCAGTAATCAGAGTAGCTCATGACATGCTTCATTAGGAGGGACTACTTGTAGTATTCAGGAATAAAAGAAAACATTGTCAAAACTGGAAATAAAATTTGTAAATTACATTTARCACTTCTCAGATAAGACTACTAGTCTTTTGGAGTTTGGCTTGCTTCCTGAGTTTTCAAAAGCAGTAGGATCTTGCTTACCACAGGGGGAAGATGCCTGAGTCGGAGATAGGAGAAATGTGTTTTGGAACTTGCTTACAGTTCTTGAAACTTTTCCTACTCACAGACACTCCATCTCTATGGCCTCACATATCACATTAAGAAACCCTTAGCACTGACACTTTTTCCTTTTCTATTATTTTGGGGAGCCAATATTCAATTAACATCTATGACAGTTATTTGTTGCTCGTTGTTGACTGCATCAAGGGGAGGCAACTGTCTACTACTAGAGCCAAACCAAGGCTTGGAGTGTTTTTGTAAGGCAGGGATATTTGCCAAGAAAGTAAGATGCACGAATTGAAAGCTAGAAATGAATCATGCACAAAAAATTGTCTTACATTACTGGCTTCTTGGTCCGATTTCATAGTTTCTGCAATGTATTTGATTCCCTCTATAGCATTTTTCACATCTGGATTTTTGGTAAGCGGGGAGTAGAAGTTGACAGGCACAGAACCTGACTTCCCAGAAATGTCAGAAATATCAATATCTTCTGCAAAAATATTTTTGTCTTGTTTGTCTCTTGATGGTCGTTTCATTGTAGAGAAAAACATGACGTTTGGGATTGTGTCAATGAAGATCTGCAAACAAAGGGAGAAGATGACAGTTGCTGGTCTGTGGGGCTGCCTTACAGCTGCAGCTGTGTGCTGAACAAAGACAAGCCTCTCCGCTCCCAGATCGCTTCCCCTGCTGGATCTGCTACAGATTCCCTCTCCCAGTATGTCACAGCCCATGCCTTAGTTACATTGGGGCTTTTTTCAGCCTCATGGCCTGGGGCAGAGGGAGTCACCCGCAGGCCTGCAACAAGTTTYCTGAAAGCCATTTGCTCTTGCCACACACCCAACATCCACACATGGAGTGGGGTGTGATACTATGGAGCAGATCCACAGCTAGCATGAGCTGACAGAGCTCTAGCCATCTCATCTAATTTGAAATATATTGCCTACAAGTCTGACTTGGAGAATGGATTCAAAGAACCTCCTTTGGCTACTTAGGTTTGATTTTGCTATTATCAGTATTTGCTACATGGGCATATAAGGTTTACAATAAATTCCTTTTGGAGTGACAGAGACTTGCTGCCAGAGCAATGTTAAGCACATGCAGGGTTTCCTGTTGAAATTTCCCTTTTTGCAGGGATTGTTTGTGCTGCAGAGGGAATCTGATATAAGCTGTAGCCTTAAAAGTATAATTAGAAATACACAGAACAATCTCCTTTCATGTCATGGCTTAGTATGAACCCAGGCAGACTTCAAAACTGCAAGGATTACGAACGGATCAGTTCATCTTTGGTACTGCCTCCCTGGCAAAGAACTTGTAATGACTGACAACCAATTTTTTCTACATCTTGTGGTTACTATTCAGACTCATGTGCAAGGCTCTCCTTTATTCCCAAGGGCTGCAACTGTACAYTGGAAAAGTACAGAGAAGATTTTTTAGCTTTTGCTAAACCGTCTTTTGCAAAATGGGACGCTGAACTCGGGTATTCCCAGTGGCCTTTGTGCTCTGCACTCCCRTGGGCTGGTGGACTTGGCCACTGGCAGGCAGCAGTGCCTTGCAGTCAGATGGAGAATTAGACCAGGAAATGTAATTCGAGTCCAGATGGACATTTTCTTTTCCCTGCACCTTCAGCTGCCCATGTTTTTTGTCATCTGTTCCCTGCAAAACTCTACCCCAGTGGACAGTTTTGTTACTTAAAGGAGCACTTGAGCAATCTTGCTGACTTTATGAACAGCTAAGTAGTAAACACTGCCTTTTGGGCCTAGAGACTTTTAACATGATGCATTTACTTCCCCGATTCTTTTTGACTTTTGTTAGAAAACCTGTCATATTTTATGGAGTGTTCAGTGGAAACCAGCAAATGTTCTGAGGCATGGAGCTCACCTTCCTGACCCAGTGGGGCATGGTGTGAGTGCTCGGGGAGCGGTGGTGGGTGTTGATGACGATGACCGTGATGATGATGGAAGCGATGACAAACACCATGGTGAACAGCATGTACTTGCCAATCAGAGGCACTGCGCTGGATGTGGAGGGAATCAGCTCCACAATGACCAGCAGGAACACAGTCAAAGACAGCAGAACAGAGATGCTGAGAGTCATTTTCTCACCTGTCATAAAGAAAAAACCCCAAACCATTGCTGCTCCTATCATTCAGTACAGAGAGCATTTATTTGGGAAGCAGGATGTGAGTGACAGCTGTGTGCMTTTGCAGTGCTATCACCTCTGCCAGCAGCCAAAGCAATAACTAGGCTGGGCAAACCTGAGAGCCTAACAGAGCATCAGCTCCAGCACTACAGTGGGAATTACCAGGTATGACTGGGCTGAGGTGTGAGTGGTGKATATTTTTACTCGCCAGGAGCATTTAACGGGCTGCGTATTTTGAACAGTGCAGCACATGCACACATGATTAGTGTTTGCTTCACAGCCTCCTGAGGGTWTGCTTGCCTTACTCTCTGTCTCTGRKCTGAGAGAGCAGACTAAAATCACATCTGACATCAGGACAGTTGCTATGCAAGATCTCCTCGCACATGGAGGGTGTCAAAAATGAAACATGAAACATAAAAATTAACCAGCTAAAAAATCTTTAGTTTTTAGAAGTTAATTGGTTAGCTAGTCAGCAATTTCTGTGGGAAAGCACCCCRATTTATTTGTATCAACAGTTTCAGTTTTTGGCACTTATCCTTTCTTTGCAGAGTATTTAAGGCCACTACTTTCAGTGGAAATGTCCAGTCTTAGTATGCATGGCCTTCAAGTTGACTGGTTATTTCAAATACTGGAACTTCTCAGGAACTTTTTAGAAGAGCAATTTCTATGGCAGTAGAATGAATAAGTAAGTTTACATACCYGAATCTGTGGGTAGGTAAAAAACTAAGCCTGTTAAAAAGGAGAAGAGCAGGCAGGGGATGATGACGTTCACRATGAAGTAGAGAGGCAGGCGTTGCATGAGGAAATGGTAGGTGATGTCCAGGTAAGGGGTGTCAGGGCAGCAGGCGTAGTAAACCCAGTGCTTCCAGCCACGGTAATCCTTCATCACCCACTCGCCACTCTCCATAAAGTTACTTAGATCTGGACGATCACTCTCCTGGCAGCAAAATACCCAACCAGATTCTTAATTCCAGGCGTTCTGAACCAAATCAAAACTGGGCAGGTTTGGCTCAGGAATAGGATTCCAAATCACTTGTGTACTTTGTGAGTTTTTGTGAGTAAATGGCCTCTCGTCTTTGTTATTTTGCCTTAGAATATCATACTCTACACAGCATTCAGCTAAATGTTTTACAGAAACAGTCTGGGATAGTGACTTGAATAAATATTACAGATAGGAGATATACCTGAGTGGAGAGGGAAAGAGTCCTTAGCAATGGAAAGTCATGAGCAGAGAAAATGTACCYCTGCAAAAATCCCTCATAACCCAAGAAAACAAACAAAAGCAAAACAGGCAGCACCAGAAAAAGTGGTGCAAAGCTGTCAGAGGACAGACAGGATACTGTCCTCTGTAAGGGCACAGGTATAATATGTATGCAGAATTTAGGAGCCAAACCAAGAAATTTTGTGCTAGACCTACAAATAAAGATTTTCCATTTTACAGTAGGGGCTGCTTGTTTTTCCAGTCAAAACTAGGTCATATTCCATTCTAAATCTGAGATTTCTCTAAAAACAYGTACAGATTTTTGCAGCTTTTCCCAATGACAAGCTCCTTGCTTACCGGGTTAATAACAACCACTGTACCATCATATGTCCAAGTTCCCAACTTCATACTGCAGTTCTGCTGGTCAAACGGGAAGTGCGTGACTATAATTTCACAGTAACTCTTAAAAATAGCTGGTGGTGTCCAGGTGATCAGACCTGTGTGCTCCAGAAGGACTTTGGTGTATTTTACAATGGCAAAATCACCATCTGCACTGCAAAAGGAACAAGGACATTAAAAGCAATATGGGCAGCGTAACTAACACAGTCACAAAAGGATTTCTTTCTCTGGCTGAGGGTCAAATGACTCCCCAGTGCCTGCTCCTGGAGAAGCTTGCTCTGAGGAATTGTACCTGCTGGAGCACAYGTCATGGGAAAACTGTCCCACTAGAGTGGTGCCACTCGGCAGAGCTCTTCCCTCCCTCCCTCCCTTGGCACCCCTTACTTGTTGTAAAGAACAAGGTCTGGCCGCCAGATATCATCTGAGGGGATGCGGATTTTTTTAACGCCACCATAGTCATCTGGATTCCATCTGAGGTTGACGTCTGTCCATTGCTAAAGAAGGAAGATTGCAGCCCCTGAGAGCGTCTCCCAGCACTTCAGGGGGTAGCTTGAGTACTTCCCAGAAACAGCTCCTCCCTTGCTTTGGGACAYGCAGGAAAACATAACCAAATGGAAGTGGGAGCCCCAGTTCATTTTTTACATTAACTTCAATTTTGGTTTAAGAAGCTTATTTTAAAAAACCAAAAAAAAACCCCAAAAGAAAATGATACAAAGATAAATACATCAGAAGTCTACTGTTTGAAATACAAACCCAAATGCTTTTCTTAAGACTGTTAGTATCTAGAGCATTTTATTCTTGAGATATCAGAAAGAAGAAATGCTCTGCTACCTGACCCACCTGTCCATGTTGCCCCTGAAAGTATGACACTKTAGTTAATCCCTGATTGAGCCCAGTGCACTGATTTGATTTTATTGAAACAGTTAAGAATATTTAGAGTTACCTGTTTCAGGCGTACGTTGGTTGTCACAATCTGATTTACTTCATCCTTAAAAATAAGGAAGGAAAAAAWTTAAAAGGCAGTATCAGCAAGTATMAGGATTAAAGGCTAAAAAGGGTTTGGCACTATGGTGTGTGCCAGCAGGTCAGCGTTACCCACGTTCCTACCGTACCACACTAATGAGCTGGATGAGCTGCAGCCCCACGGTGACAACGACGGCATCSCGATGGTCCTCCACGGGCCGCACCACCTTGTTGTAGTTCTGGAACAAGTGCTCCACAAGGCGAGACTCATCTTCATAGCACAGGGCCAGCYCAGCTGCAGAACAGCACCCACAGTTGGATGGGGCAGGAACAGACTATGGCACTGCCAGCCTGAGGCTGGACTGGAGGAAATGCTGCGACAGTGAGCTGCTGGTGGGGGATAACGCCGTGTCCTGCCTGTGACTCCTCATTTCAGACAAGCACTGTGAGCACTGCAGGTGCCACCAGCCTGCCTGACCTGGCCACCAGCTTAGGATCCTCCAATCAGGAGATGAACAAAAGCAAGTAGCCAGGATTGTGGACATCAGACTGAGCACCAAGAGTCTCCCAGCCTGAAACTGTGCCAACATGCAGTACTTGTGGGCAGTTAAACASAGAAAATATACAGTATCAGGAATTTCCAATGCTGGCTTTTTCACCATCAGTTCCACAGACTTTCCTGTGACAGTAACACTAAAGGGGAGGGCCAAGTACAGCAGGCACTGAGAAGAAATCATCACCCAGACTCCTCTCATCCGCAGTCTATGTGGAACAAGAACTCCTCTTGCAGCAGGAGTTGCTCAGGCTGTGCAGGTGGTGAGAGAAGGAAACCMTCACTGTGTGGGGCAGCTTTGCCCACTGCCTGCCCAGCATGACTCGGCAGTGCTGTGCCAAAGAGCCTTACAAGAAAAAATTCACAAGTGAAAATGGCAGGGAGCAACCCTGTTCCAGTAGAACATGGCACTGCACTCCCCAGATGGACCCTGTCTGCAGAGAGCCTGTGGCACTACAGGCAGGCACATGCTGTCCTCAGCTTGTAGCTGCTTCACCATTACAGGGGAGAAAAGCAAATGGAAAGAGYGCTTGGGGATGTTTTTGTACATCCCCTCCTTAAAGGCAGTGAGAGGGAACAGAACAGTTGAGCCTCTCTSCAAGCATTTTTGGCAGACTGCACCCTGGTCTCACTCTCTCTGTTGAATCCTGGGCCACAGCAGTCAACAAGAATTTTTGCTGCAGACTCCAACCTAAGCTAGGATTTCCTTCTATTTCCTAAATGACTTTTCATTAGCTCCTTTTATATAGCTGAGATTGCCAAGGATTCTGCCTTGGCCTTGTCCTGCCATGAGATTATATTAAAAKACTTGGATGCCAAGGAGAAAAACTGTCTGTCGCAGACAGGCACTGTCTCACCAGGAGGCTGACGAACAGTGGGCAGGAGACATCGTTCAGTTTTTAAGTTATGATCACATCATCACAACTAACTGAAGGTCAGTGCTTTATTAGTCCAATTAAAATCCCTTCACATTGCTTCCTTCTKGTGTGGCTTGGTAAGAATTTAGTGTACTGCTTGAATTTTCTGAAAAGCTTTTAGGTTCACAAAATATTTATTCTTTTAAGGGACAGTTAAAAAAGTTATCTCAGTACAACACACAGAGCTGCAAATTAATTCTACCTCYTTGTCAGTGACCCCAGAACTTAATGAAATTTCTTATAATCGTTTTTCATATTCCAAGCCATGCTTACTAAATCCTTTCACATGTTTTAAAATACATGTAGCACTAGGGTAAACGGGAGCATACAAACTTGATTACAGACAAAAAAACAACTAAACACAAACTTCTCAGTTCAAGATATCTGGTGCCTGAAACTAAAAATATCTGAGCTCTACTAATGCACTCCAAAGCTCTCCATTAAATGTTTTGGTGTGTTCAGAAAAGCTTATCAGTAGGACAGGCTGCTGTCAGAACACACGCTCCCTCATCCTGATGTGCATGCAAAGCCTGGTCCCACTCTGCAAGGAGCCAMCTCCCATCCAAAGCAATGGCTGGAACACCTTTACCTGTGCAGATGAGGAGGAGGAGAACGCARTGGACCTTCATCACCCCGGTCCCTSGTGCTGCAGTCAYACAGATGGAGGCACGCACAAAGCACCTCCAAGGTCTCTTCAGAGGGGGCTGTGCTGCCTCTGCCAGGCGCTGCCAGAATACCCCCCCCGGGTATGGATTTACAGCACCTGTTTTGGGAAGGACAGCTGAGGGACACCGCACCGCCGGGCTGGAGCGGGAGCATAGCGTGCTTCACCAGCCAAATACCTTCTGCWGTTTACAGAAATATCAGTGTGACCTGTGACACTCAACAAATAAACACACAAATGAAACTAAAAAAGGATCACCTGAGAGTAAATGAACAGCTTGGTAGGARCTCAGAAACTCTTTGTGAACAYAGCAACTTCYCAGGTTTAGGGTTTTGTTTCTCTG